TTTACGTGAAAGACATGTCTATCTAGCACAGTGATAGGGAAAAGTGGAAAACTTACATCCAGAACCGCATTTTACAAACAAGACAATGAGACTGGACTTGTGCACTATCCAGGAGAATCAACAAAACTTGGTGGACAAGCGCTCAAGCTAGAATTAGTCTTTGGCATCGGAAAAGAAGAAGAAGAAAATAAATAGTATTTTGTAGCATCATAGTTAGGGAAGAAATACTAAATGATGATAGCTTAATTGACAGATGGGAGTAAGTGGGGGTGAGAGTATGTGTTCGATCTTTTTCATTATCATTTTTAAGAGAAATTTAAAGTCTTAATCCTATACCTACCCTGAATTTCAGATTAGTCCATACGAAACCTATAAAATTATTGGGAGAGACTCTCCAAAAAAAAAAATAGTTAGGGAAGAAACGTAACAAACTTCATCTTTCTGTAAAAAAAAAAAATCCTGCTCATACTTAATTTGGTATAGATTGAGATGACTGTGTTATTGACATTTTTCTTGATTGTCCTAGTGGTAACCCGTTCAAGTTCCGTAAATAATAAATTTATTTTTTTCCTCATTCAATCTGTGAATTTGAAAATAACATTTTATACATATAGAAAATATTGAAAATAATAGATTGATTTTATAAAAAACTAATTTAACCTTTGCGTAAGCATAAAAACATAAATACTTCAGTAAATATTTGAGCATAATTAAAATTTGGTTTCGCGAAGAAATTAATAAAAACACTATTTAAAATCTGTTTCAAAATTTTGGAAGTAAGTATCAGTTACCTAATATTAAACTGCAAAAAATTACCACAAAGTAACATTTTATATATATAAAAAGGTTTAAAGTTTCTAAAATTGCTTTAAATAACTTTATTTAATATTCACTAAAATATACTCAAAAAGTGTGTGGGATCTATATATGGAGACCCATCTGAAAAAATCACATGTGCACGGCATGATTGATGTTTTATAATATTTTATTATTATATTTACTATTACAATAATATATTAGAAAAATCATGTAGAACGTATGATAAATATATTTTAAAATAATATGTTATTATATTATTTTATAATTAGAATATTATACTATATATACTTTTTATAGATAAATAAAGAGGAAAATGTTATAAATAATATTATTGTGAATGTCCAGAATTCCCAAAGAAATAAAGTGTATAGATCTTGTACGAAAAAAATACAAGACAATGGAAAATGTGTTGTGTTTCGGAGCCCAGCAATTCTTAGTCCGTCTTTGGATTCAATTAGCCTGACCTTCTTCAGGTCGGCTTGCGAAAGCGTTGATAAATAGTAATAGCAAATCAAATTAAAAACAGAGATAAGGAGAAAGAGAACATCATGTTGCTAATGGTCATACCCAAAATAGTTTAGTAGATTATTTATTAAATGTCTCCAATTAATAGTTAGATCATTGTTTATGAGAACAAAGTTCTCATTTCGGTGTGTGGATATACTATTTTACATGCAACATTGCTTCTATGCATCATGCTAATAATTTATCATAAATTCTCTCCATTACAATTGGCTTATGTTCAGGAGCCAAACCACAATGCATAAAGAAAAGTCCTCAACGAAAGTTGAAAATATATGTTGGATAAAAATATCCTATAATATCTTGAAATAATGACTAGAGATTTAGTTAAATCAATATTTGATTATTGTTATCAGTCTTTCCAACATGAGGAGGAGAGAATAAACAACTGGAAAAATATATTGATTAGAATGTGTTATTATAATCTCATATAGATCCTAGTACAAAGCAAATATGAGAAAAAAAATTATTATACATCGACTGCCAGATGATTTGACTGAACAAAAAATCTAATATTCCAATTGTAAATGCTCCAATTCAAATTGATGTCCCAGCAAGACAATCTATGAGAGAAAATGAAACTAAACTATGCTTAAAATATGAAAAAATGATTGGTTCCAAGGATAAAAATCCTTGATAAGAGGAAAAGAGCAAATGATCAATATGGTCATAATATGGAGACAACGGTTAATATTGAAGACATAACTTTTATTAAAATTCGAGGGAGGTTCAGGTACCTGAAAATAATGAAAATGAAGAGATCTCTCTTGGTAATGTCATTACATGAAAAAGTTAGAACGGTAAAGATATAGTTGTCGACAATATTTTCGTAAATAATGAAATAATGAAGCAAGACGAGGGTCTTGATGCTAAATTTGTTGATGAATGTAAATAGAAACATAATTGGCCAAAATATAAAGATGCAATTCAATTTTAAAGTTTTTGAACCTATAATCCAAACACATGAAGGTGTAAAGTCAGTGGGGTACAAATGTGCATAAATGTAGTGAAGTCGTAAGATATAAAACACAACTTATAGCACAATCATTTTCGCAAAAGCCTGACATTTATTATATGAAATATATTCTCTTATAGTGGATGTCATTACCTTCAGATATCTTATTAGTCTGGCAATACATGAAAATTTGGCATGCGTATAACGATGTTAATATAGCCTATTTATATGGTTCATTCGATCGATAGTGAAATTTATATGAAAATTCCATAAGGATTCAAAATGCTTGAAACATATAAAAATTTCTGGGAAGATTTGTTGAAAGAACTACAAGTATCATTAAATGAATTAAAGAAATAAAGACGTATGTGGTATAATCACCTTAATAGAATATTTATTGAATTATATAGAAAATATTTTAAAGATATTTTATATGAACAAAGCACAACCAGTGAGTACCCTAATGGTTGTGAGCTCGATTGGCATAATTAAAATATTCATTTAAACCCGATGAAAATTAACAAAAATTTCTCGGTGGCGTATCTTAGTTCAATCGAGGCAATCTTATAAGTGGATAATAAATGGTGAACATCTAAGGGGGGAGTTATAAATTTTTAAAGTTGATGTTTGACTTTTGAACTTTATATATTCTCCCCTTTATTCTTACATTTTATCTTTCTTATTTGTAAATCTGTTAGCATGATTTAATTCTTCTCCGATATGAAGATACTAGGATAATACAAGATATTTACTTGAACCACAGAAAGGCATATCCCAAACAAGATTTCCATCGGAAGTGGAAGCACAACTATTTAATAGCGTTCAACAAATTTGTCAAGAGATAATTTGGTAGACATTGCCTAATTCAATTTTTGAGAAGCTGATGGATGAGAAGATTTGTAGACTCAGAGACATTAAATGATGCTATAATCAGGGGAGAAAAATATGTGTTGCACTCTTTTTTTCTTCACCATGGTTTTGTCCTATTGTTTTCCTGGTAAGGTTTTTCATGAGGCAGCTTGCAGCACATATTATTAGAATGTATACTATTTTTTCTTCACTATGATTTTTTTCCCATAGGATTTTTTCCTAATAAGGTACATTATCTTAATGGACATCCAAAGGGGAGTGTTATAAATAAAATTATTAGGGATGTTTATAACTCCCGAACTCCCAAAGGAATAAAGTGTAACTTTTGTAACTTCTAATATGTAATTAGAAGCATGTTTGTTATAATCACGTCCAACATCGTAAGATCATATTATCTTACGGTTTTTTTGATTTAAATGAGTTGGATCGCAAATTGAATTGTTTTCTTCGCAGATTGGTTGGGATCAATGTTTATACTCATAAAATCGGTGGAATCAGAAGATCCCACTATTTCAGCGATTCAAAGAAAAAAAGAGAGAATGAAGATGAAGCCCGAAGGCACAACTGGATCGAGCGCGGCTAGGCTCCATGGGAAGAAATCCTCAGCCGGAGGCCAATTTCTCATGCAGGAGTCTTAACGAAGGTGAAGAGGTTCCTCTCCGTACTTCGGAAGCCATTGAAGTGTTCAAGATGTTGAATCATTAGTACCAAAAGAATCCTGAGCCGCTGGTGACACACTGGAGGGTGCCGCGAGGGGTGCGTCTGATTCCGTCGCGAGATTGGTCGTCGAGAGGGTGGGAGGTGGATCATAAGGAGCTGACATGTGCATTTGCGTGTGTGTTCAAGTTGACGCGAATCTCGTCTCTTTCGTGTGCGCTTCTGGTGGTGGTGAATGGTGATGATAAGAAAATAAGTTGGTAATCACGCTCACATGTGTGAGTTGCAGCCTAATTTGTACTTTCTCTCTTTTTGGTAGAAAGTCGAATTTGTACTTTATTTGCAAGTTGGAGTCTCGTACAAATAAATAGCAACTTGGGTAATTTGTAAGTTGGTAATCACACCTAATGTTATATTATTACGAAAATCTTATATTTACAAATTTTTTGTTTACAAATTACATTATGTCTTAATGTTAAAACATTCTTGAGTAACAGTAAGATATGTTATATTTACAAATTTTTTGTTTACAAATTACATTATGTCTTAACATTAAGACATTCTTGAGTAACAGTAAAACATATTATAAAAAAGAAAATTGTCAATATAATCCTCCAATATTACTATTATATCCTTATTTATAATTTGTATGCAAGTTGCTACAATTCACAATTTTGTCCCAGTTGCGAATGAAGGACATAGTGTTCCCCAACATATAATTAAAAAGAATATTGATTTAAGTTTAACTATATAATAATGGTATATTAAAAATAATAAAATTGTAACGATGGACTAACATTATTATTATTAAAAAATTATCAATTAAGGATTATATGATAAATTATTTTTTACTTTAAATAAAAAGCTTAATATAATATTATTATATGATAAATTATTTATTTATGTAATTTTAATATTGTATATATATATATACAGTTACAATTTTACTATTCGTGTTGATTTTACTATTAATGATCTTTTTATCCCCTCCCAGTTTAGATAAAATCTCGATCTTAAAAATATTGATTAGGAGGATTCAATATGAGTTTTAAGGTATGGAAAAACAAAATTAATATACAGTAACAATATACTCTTACATTTCTAATTGTTATTGTTATTGTTATTCTTTTACACATAGATCAGTGCATTCATCTACTCGCGAATAAAAAAGAAAGAAAGAAAGAAAGAAGCACCTATGTTTTATCCCGTGGCATCTTGTCCCCAAAACCGTCACAACTCCAAAATCTCGCATGCGACAGTGACATAATCCTGAATGAAAAGCTCGAATCCGAAGATGGACATCGACGTGGACGAAGCTTCTGGACCCAAAGGTTTCCTTCTAGAACCTTCATTAATTTGTTGGTGAAATGAATCATGGAAATTGGAACCCTTTTGATAACTGTGTCTCTGTGTGTGTGTGTGTGTGTGTGTGTGTGTGTGTGTGTCAATGTGTTAGACGCAGAGGGAAAGACCCTTTTGGTCATCTTAGTGGGAGCACCGGGGAGCGGGAAGTCCACCTTCTGTGAAGAGGTTATGCGTTCCTCTACACGCTCTTGGGTTCGCGTTTGCCAGGTTTAGTTTCGTCCCCTTTTACTTGTTTGATGAAATGTCTCATTGAGTTTGAGAATCAGCATTCTAGCTTTTGTATTCATTATGGTAACTGATAAGATAACTGTGAATGGGAGCAAGTATGGGGCGTTAGAGTGACATGGGAAATTTATGGAAGTTGGATGAATTTTACCATTTTAGTTTGCTTGATAACTCTGAGATGAATCGAGGGTGTGTGTTATGCCTTTCGATCTTCATCTTGATCTTGGACATGTTAAATATGCGCTTGTATTTGGAAGATTCTAGGCAAATGATGTATTTTCTTGGGTGTGCCAGTTCTTGCCTGCTTTGAGGGCTTTAGGGTGTGTTTGGATGCAGGATAAGGGAAAATGTTCCTACCGTGTGGGAGATTTTATTAGGAAGGAAAATGAGGGACTTTCGCTAAACCCTCCAATACCCATTTTTGTTGGTTTTCTCAATTTGGAGGATTTGCAAGAGATTGCTATTGTACTCTAAATCATGTTTCCATATTTCATCTAAATATCATTGTTAAAATATACTTTTAACATATTATATTTCTTGATAATAAGTAGTAAATTTTTAAGATTTATTTGAAATTTTAAACATCAGAAGTAGAAGAAGGAAAGTTATCATTCAAACTTGAACCCCGCAGCCCACCTTCCCTTTCCCCTCCCCCTCAACTCAGACATATCTACTGGAGGCTCATCTTTTGCCTCAACCCCTCCGCTAAAGGATGGGATAAAAATCACCCAAAATGGTTTTGAATCTTACCTAACGTTAGTTATACTGACTTTTCTTTTGCTTTAGGACACCATTGGAAATGGTAAAGCAGGAAATAAAGCTCAGTGCCTAAGCAGTGCAGCTACAGCATTGAAGGATGGGAAGAGTGTATTTATTGACAGGTGCAATCTTGACAGAGAACAGCGCACAGAATTTGTAAAGCTTGGTGTTGGACCCCATATAGATGTCCATGCTGTTGTACTTGATCTTCCGGCTAAGCTTTGTATTTCTCGATCTGTCAAACGGACTGGGCATGAAGGAAATTTGCAGGGCGGAAAAGCTGCTGCGGTTGTGAATAGAATGCTTCAAAAGAAAGAGCTTCCCAAATTAAGTGAAGGGTTTAACCGGATAACTTTTTGTCAGAGTGAGAGTGATGTCAAAGATGCTATTAATACATACAGCACACTTGGGCCACAAGATAACCTTCCATATGGCTGCTTTGGCCAAAAGAATCCAGATTCCAAAATTCAAGTTGGTATAATGAAGTTTCTAAAAAAGGCAGACGTCCCCGCTGATGCTGCATCTAGGAAGAATGGCATTGGAAACTCCACTTCCCAGACACCTGGGAAAAATGATTCCTGCTGCAAAGATATGGAAAAAATTCCCTCGATTCCAGATAATGCCAACTTAGAGTCAACGGAAGTGGAAGGCCAGGCAGTTGACTCTACTGGTTCCCATGCCAATCGAGTTTCTCTGGGTGATACTCCCACTCTGGCATTTCCATCTATTTCAACATCTGATTTTCAATTCAACCATGAGAAGGCAGCTGATATTATTGTTGAGAAAGTTGCAGAGTTCTCGAGTAAGACTTGGAATGCCAGACTTGTCCTAGTTGACTTGACTCATAAGTCAAAAATTCTCTCCTTAGTTAAAGCCAAAGCGGCAGAAAAAAATATTGACGCCCAAAAGTTCTTTACCCATGTTGGAGACATTACTCACCTTTATTCCGTGGGAGGTTTGCGCTGTAATGTCATAGCTAATGCTGCCAACTGGTAAGCTTCTGTGATTTCAGTATATACAAATAACGTAATTCCATTTAAAGATTAATCCATAAAACTGAAGTAGAAATCAATAAATATACAAGGAGATATCCCTCACCCAGGTGAATATGTGTAGCAATTGTTAGTTAGATTGTAAGCCATGTCGTATCTCTTAGGATTTCCTTAGTCTCTTGTTATATGAACCCTCATAAGGAAATTTATGTTGACTGTAGTTTTATTATGAAATTCTACATTAAAGCTTATCTAGCAGTTAAGAATATACTGATTTTTGTTGTCTTATGTCGTGCAACTTCAGCTGCTAATCGATCAATTCAACTCCATTTTGTTTTGGCCATAGATTCTTAATTATTTCACTTGATACCAATGCTTGCTTCCTGATTGATGTGGATCACATTAATTCTGACTTATTTCCTGGGTCCCACTTGTTTTCTTAGAAACATGTAATAAATTCTGATGGAGAATATTTTCATTCAGATAAACCTGTCACTTTTCACATGTTCTCTTGGTTAAACGAACTATCCTTTGCAGGCGGTTGAAACCTGGAGGTGGAGGTGTTAATGCAGCAATTTTTGATGCTGCAGGTCCTGAACTGGATTCTGCAACCAAAGAAAAAGCAAAATCTCTTTCGCCTGGGAATGCTGTTGTTGTCCCTCTACCTTCATCTTCTCCGTTGTTTACTAGAGAGGGTGTAACCCATGTAATACATGTTCTTGGACCTAATATGAACCCACAAAGACCAAATTGTCTAAAAAATGATTATAGTAAAGGCTGCAAAATTCTCCAAGATGCATATGCTTCACTATTTGAAGGTTTTGCATCAATTGTGAGGAACCAGGCAGACCAACCTGGGGGAAGAAATGAAAACCTTAGAAAAAAGTCTTTGGAGTCACAGGATCAGTCTGAATGTTATTCGAGAAATCATTTTACAAATTCTGATCAAAAGAGTAAGAGAGATGCTGATCATGGATCAGAAAAGAGCAAGAAATACAAGGGAAATCAGGATGATTTTGGATCTACCTTTACTGATTCAAGGGATGAAAAGGTAGATTTAGGGCCTGGAAGAACTGATGGTAGCATGATTAAGGCATGGGGATCATGGGCTCAAGCTCTTCACCGTATAGCAATGCATCCTGAAAACCACAAGGATGACTTGCTTGAAATTTCAGAAGATGTTGTTGTATTGAATGATCTTTATCCTAAGGTTGAATTTGTCCCTTTCCTTTTTCTTTCCTCTTCATTTTTCGTGCCATGCGTGACTCTGCAAATGTAACAAACTGAATTTACTTGTGTTTTCTAGGCACAGAAGCATATTCTGGTTTTGACACGAACTGGAGGTCTTGATTGTCTGGCAGATGTCCAAAACGAGCACCTTCAGTTATTGAAGAAGATACATGCTGTGGGTTTGAAATGGGCTGAGAAGTTCTTGCATGAGAATGCTTCTCTGGTATTTCGTCTTGGATATCACTCGGTATGCAGAGTATATATTAAAGAAATATTTTTCCTCTTCACCTACCCAGAAAAAGAAAAGAAAATAAAATAAAGATGTGTGATTTTGGCACATGTATGTTATCAATCAAAAAACGCCATTGAGTTAGCTGGTGGCTGAATTGGATTCATATTAAAATTTGGAAGTTTAAAAGCGACTTCTTTTGTGGTTAAGCATGTTTTTAAGTCAATAACTCAAGACGAAGGTTTTAATTCACCAAGGAAAATGGTTAAAAGAATTATATTTGACATTGTGGAAGAAATAAGCTATTATAAAATATACTCAATCATGTTAATGTCGGGTTGAGGATGTGCTTCTACAAGTTACTGCAATACCATGGTTAAGCTTTTTAGTTTTGTTGGGCATTTTTAAGGTGTCTCATTTGTAAATTGAATTTTTGGCAGCTGGTGAAATATTTTGCTTGATACATTATACATACAATATTGAACCTTCTGGACGTATCTCTCTTCTGCAGGCTCCATCAATGCGACAACTACATTTACATGTCATTAGCCAGGACTTTGAATCAAAACATTTGAAGAATAAGAAGCACTGGAACTCATTTAACACTGCTTTCTTTCGTGACTCGGTAGATGTAATGGATGAGATCTCTAAACATGGGAAAGCAATATTGAAAAATGATGACAAGCTGTTGACTATGGAGTTGAGGTGCCACAGATGTAGAAGTGCGCATCCAAACATACCACGGTTAAAATCACATATTAGCAGCTGCCATGCTCCTTTTCCAGCTTACCTACTTCAAAACGGACGTTTGGTGCATGCACCAGGTCAACCGCACAACAATTTATAGTTTTATAAGTTTTTGACACTGCCACTATGCTTGACTAGTTTTGATCTAGCCTTTTGAGTAGAGAGGTAGAATCCTCATTGTATAGTTAAAGAATGAAGTATTTTTGCCATCTAAGAGAAAGAAGTTTATTTTCACCTTACATTAACGAGTGGTGGCACTAGATGGTTTGACTTGAAATCCTGTTGGAACGACTATATATGGCTTGATGGACTTGGCCATTCTTGCAGGCTGCAATTATATATGTAAAATAACATTTGCTTTAATATTTGGTGAATTTGAACCAACCACCCACCCCCACCCCCACCACAAAAAAGAAGTTACATTTTCAGCTGGAACCACCTCAAAGATATAATTTAATGAATTTGAATCCGGTGTATCCATCGTTTTCTAAGAAAATTTGTTAGGGGGTAAATGGATTAGGTTACAGATATTAGGCCGGACTTAGAATATTACAAATAGTAAAATAGAATAGGTCTAGACTTTTAAAAAAATCTATTTAGAAAATAGGTCATAAGTTTTTTTTGTACATGTCGGGCGTATAAGTTTACAAGTCGGTCTATATAATTTTATTTATTTTAAATAAAATAAATAAAATTATTATTTTAATAATTTTGAATAATAAAGTAATATTATTTTAGTTATTCTTTTAATTGTTGAATGTTTAATAGGTTTAAACAGGCGTAGGCTAAGACTTTTATTTTTTAAATATAGGTTATGTCAGACTTGTAATTTGGAGCCTACACAGGCTAGACCAGGCCAAAGACAATATTTTTATACAGACCTGACCTATTTAATCCAAAGCATAGCCTAGGCTATTTACACCCCTAGGGATCTTATATAGTTTTTTTACTTTATTAAATTGAAGCTTTTTTTCCACTTAAACCCATCATCTATTATCAAAATCTTCACTCGATTGATTATAAGATGCAATGCTTTATTGTAATAGTTTTCATTTATTAGGTTAAGAGTGTGTGTTACCAAAGTTTAAGAAAAATAATGAAATTTTCATATTCTAAAGCCAAGATTTGTTGCAAGTTTAATAAATGTTTATAATATCATTTATTACTGGGAAAAAAACTCTTCTAGAGTGAGTTATTTTTAAGATGAACAAATTAGAATATATACTCTTGTTTACCAAAAAAAAAGAATATATACTCTTAATTTAACCTAAACATATTATGATCTTGAATTACTTAGCAGTTTAAAAGTAAATGCATTCCATTTATTCATATTAGAGGCAAGTTTTATTTTTTATTCTTTGATATTTTGATACAAGAAAATGACTAGAAAAGTTGCGAATAGCGAGGGAAATTTGTGAGGGAAAAATTCCCTTGCAAACTGTGACGGAATTTGTGAGGGAAAGACAATTGCAACGGAAATTTCTTCAATTTTCTGTTACTACATCATAATTTGCGAGGGAATTTTCTGTCGCAATTTCAGTTCGGGCGCAGAACCCGTTGCTGATCGGTCGCAGAATTCGTCGCAATTTGCGAGAGAAATTAAATCCCTTACAAACATCACAAGTCTGTTACGGAAACTAGTGAGGGAAAATATTGACGACAGAAGTTCCCTCGCAAGATCTAGGACAAAAAATTACAACTCAAAATTCATAATTTCCCTCACAATTTCCCTAGCAATTTGCGAGGGAGTATATTCCCTCGCAAAATTCAAAAATACACTCATTATACTTCATATCTAACGGTCAGTTTGTTGATTGAAGCTCTTGAGGGATTCGTTCAACTGCAAACAGAGGATGTTAATATTTCTGCTCTGTTTCAGGCAATGTGGTACCATTGGATTGTCCTCAAAATTAGTCAGTGTCCTCCTATCTTGTATTTAATTAACTTGACCACTGTGATTTTGAGTTGTAACTTCTGGTAGTTGGAATACATATTGGACAGGAGCTTGTTACTCTTCAGTTTTTGGTATAACTTATTGTTGAGTTATTTATTTAATGTTACTATTGGGATTGTGTTGTCTCTTCATATTCTTCAATTGTTTACATATTCTGGAGTTATGCAAAAGAACATCATTTAGCACGTGCAATTGTACGAGTGTGAGTGAGAATAAGAGGGAAATGTCTGAAATAGACATGCTCCATCCACCCTTATCGTCATCACTGTACAAAAGAATGAAAAGTGACACTCATATATATATAGGCAGGATATTCTTACACCGGTGTAAGAGTTAGAAGTCTTACACTCAATCTTGACCATTGTTATATCTAATGGCTCACATTACTAAAAAATTAGAGCCCTTAGATATAAGTGGGATTAACGGCTAAGATTAAGAGTGTAACTTACACTGGTGTAAAATGATCCTTACCCATATATATATATATATATATACTTTGAATGTGTGTGAGTTACATTTTGATTACAAGAGTAGAAGCGAAATCAATCACGACAAGAGAAAAGAGAGAGAAAATATCCTTTCAGAAAATAGGCTAATTTAAGAAAGGAAGAAGCAGTCTTTGATCATTGTTCGATATCTCCTTCATCTATCGTCGGATCGAGCTGAGATTTTGTTGGCATATTCCTGACTCATGATTCTTCATATTTAACGGTGGCTTTTCTGGTTGGAGGTCTGTAGCATCACCATAAATTCCAAACCGTAGTGATTTGTGTGCAGAATTCTGCTGTAGGTAGTAAAAAATATCTACATGCATAGGTACAAGAAATTCAACGTTATTATAAAATTATAAAAGTCTACATGTTTTGGTAAGAATACGATATTTTTTATGAAAATCATTTTAATGATAAAATTATAAATGGATATTCTGAAACTAAATAGAGATAAAATAAATTAACAAGGAAGCATTAATAATGGTAAATTATAATTAAAAGGAGTTAAAGATTCTGCAATATTTATATTGTTGATAATCATGTTTCAAAAAAAAAATGTGTTCATAAGCACAATAACAACTTAATTTGAATAGCATTTATATATTTTAAAAAGCTTGGAAAAAAATAATTCCATAACAAAAACGCGTGGTTTGTTGGTCATGTAATATATGTCAGGGATAAATTATATATAATTTTAATTTTTCATTTGGCTATCCAAATAATGTTAATAACATCAGTGTAATTGGTAAGTGAAGTTTATCTATATATATATATATATATATATATATATATATATATATATATATAATTTTAATTTTTTGTAATCCTATGTTTACCAACAAGAAAATTGGCGAAACTTTTAAATTTATAAATTTCTTAGTGAAGTGGGAGAGAAATTAATTAAGTTTGGAGGGAAACATAATGAGCCTGTGAATTTTAAAAATATGAAATATATATATGTAGGCACACTTTTGCAAGGGAAATGTAAAATCCCTTGCAATTATGATCGATTTTAATGAGACTACGAGGGAAAAATGTATAGTCCCTCACAAAACCTTCATTAATGTTGTGACGAAATATTATATTTTTCCCTTTCAATGGAAGAGTTAGGTTAAAAAATTTGACTCTTCCCCTTTTCGTTTTCACTTTCACTTTTCACCCCCTTGCATTTCTTCTTGTTGCCCTCCATCCTTGTCTCTGAAACGTCGACCGTTGTTTCCCTCCATCCCCGTCTTTGCACCGTTGGCTGTTGTTGCCCTCTTCTTCCTATTGCCCTCCATCCTCGTCTCTGCACCGTTGAAGGTTCGACCTTTTTTCTCTAACTTTTTGTTTTTCTTATCTCTAACTTTCATTGTTTCCCTAAAGAAGCCGAAGAGCGATAAGCTCGTGAACTCAAAGCTGGTCTTCACCCACTCTAGGTTCCTCTCTTCCTCTTCCATTTCTCTCTCTGCTTCCAATTGTTAATCACTACCAAATCGGTCAAACAATACAATAATCCTTTTTTAATTATTTTTTATGTATTCATTCATTTTTTAGGGAAAATTTTGACTTTGAACCTAATTTTTTTTGTGGCAACAAAACAGCATGCAATGCTTGAATTGAAAAGGCTAGGGATTAACGACCTCAGATTTTTTTTCTTTATTTCTTTTTTTAAAAATATTTGGGAAATTTAAGGGTATGACTGAAATTTGCACTGATATATGTGATAAGATATATTCTAGGTTTTGGGTATCTATTATTTATCCAGGAAGATTCTGAAGAAATCAAAATTTGGGATTTTTTTTTGTTTAAGGTTTTGAATAAGAGTAGCTTGCATTTTTATATCAATATGACTTAGACTCTTTCAATTGACTTTAGAAGTGATTTTAATGTAGGAACAATTGATTTAATGTTGTTATATTGGTTGTGTTGGATTGTTCTTAAAGCAGATATATGAGAGATGGTTATGCACTTTTGTGTAGATTCAGGCTCTTAATGATTTGAAATTCTTGTTGATTCTTTCTGGTGGTTATGTTTATTTCCCTATCTCTTTTTCCCCTGGTCAGAGGCTATTTGGGCAGTTTGACATTTTGGTTGTTTTATTTTGTGTTGGTTATTTCTATGAGCAGCTTTTGATTATGTCAAGTTGTTTATTATGTCCAACTATTATATTTTGTTGATGATTATTTTGTTATGTTTATTATCTCTTTTAAGTCTAACTTAGTGATGAAATGCACTACAATTCTAGAACGAAAGTAGTGAAATTGGAAGTAACAAGAATAGCTTGTAAAAACCTTCAAAGACTATAGTACATCTTGATGATCAATCAAACCTCGATATACATCAAGTAGGAGAGGCACATCTTCCAAAAAAAATTGATATCTATGAGAAGTTAGTTGATATCATTCAATTGGATTACAAGTCGGGCAAGTCAGTTACTCTGATTAAATGCGATTGGTTTGATAACACCTCACGTGGGACAAAAGTGGACCAGTATGGAAATATTTAGGTTAATTGGTCGAGGAGTTATACAATGGGTTATGAACCATTTATACTTGCTCAACAGGCATAACAAGTTATTTACACATTATACCCTACATCCCAACAAGGATAGAGAGGAGTTATAAATACCAAAGCCCGAAATATTATCCGCAAGTCCATCGAGTCAGACTCAAATGACGTGACTGATCCATTTCAAGATTATAGGGAACATGAACTTCCCATAAATGTTGCAGAGGATGATGTGTCAAGCAATCTTTTTGATTCCATTGCAGAGTTACAATTAATTCCTGTTGAATTGGACAATGAGGAATCAGACGATGAGGAACCAGAGATGTATTCAGATAGTGAGCTTGAATTCGACGATTATGAGACTCCAGAGGAAGGTGGGC